CATCTTGAGGCATTACTTGTTGTAGTGCATGAGGCGTCAACCATGTGATTTTTTGCCCTTCAACCTCTGCCTAAAAGGGGCAAATTGGTAATTTTACATTCTACATAACATCAAATTTATTGATTTATACATGTGATGATTTCTATACCTGGTAATATATGCCTTTCACAGATATGAAAGCCTTTCGCAATTTATGTGTGCGAGAGACATATGCTTGCCACTCAAGACTCAACCTAAAGAAATTAAAACATATAAACCATTAAGATATAAAATTAGATATTCAAAATATGGGAACACATTACACATACCCTCTACAACTATGGATTCTTTCTACTTGAATGTTTTCCCTTTCTATAGCAGGTAATGCAGCAAAAAGATGCACCATGGTGAGTCCATCATCCAAATCTCTTAATGCATCAATGAATGTTGGATACCTGAAGTCAAATTTGTAAAAAGTTACGACTTAATTGGGAAAATCTTCTTTTTACTTTTCTATCAAGTCGTTCTTTTTGCATTTAGTAAAAAAGAAAGACTGGTATATAGTTATATACTATAGGTATATAGCATACCGGATTAAGTAATGTCCTCATTGAGTCAAAAGGAAAATGCAACAAAAAGTGTTGTATAAGTTAGATATATAATGACACTAACCTCTCAAGGATAGGCCTATCAAGTGTGTAAGAAGGCTTGTGTGTTGACACGCGTTCAACAAGATCTTTGTTCTTCTTAGACATTGCTTTCTTTTTCTTTTTCTCATATGTCCTAGCCTCACGAAACTTGACAAGAAGTGGGTCATGTTTAAGACCCAAAATATCTTTCATGTGATAATAGGTATGGTGGTTTCCCTTCACTTTTTTCTTTGGGTCTCGAGGAAAAACTTTTTTGAAGATACATAATTTCCTATTGAATCAAAAACAACCAAAACATTTGGATTATTAGAGTATATATACACAATTGAAAATATAGAACCTCTTATGAATTGTATACGTACCAAATATTTAACTATCAAATACACAACACAAGAGAGTAACTATTCAAATCCACATTATTACATGTTTTGCTTTTTAAATCAATAAGACCCTTGATCATGGTAGTAAAGGACATCAAATTAGGGTTATGGACTTCTTATCATCACTCCAAACTAGGGTTTTTCACCTCTTATCTCAAAAGCGCTCATTGAAGATAAATCAATACATTTAACAACAAAAACTTCTTCAAATTCTTCCTTCTACATCCTCATTCAAAACACTCAATATGAATATACATTTAACTACGTCGATTGTAAATTCAAACATTAATGAGCTTTTGTGCTTCTTATCTCACCTCATATATACACATCTATATATCTACAACATACGCCAAGATTCAAAGCAAATTAATACCTGAACACGGAAAGACTGACTTGCAGGTCCTTAACAGCTTGCGACCTGGTGATGTATCTGGCGGCGTTCCCTTCCTTCTTCTTCCCCTGCGAACCACAAGTGAAAAACGCAACATAAAAACGATATTCATCCGTGTAGGGAATTACTTGTAAGTTTCGTTTGAAACTTACTGGAGGCCTGTAATGTTTAGGCATGGCTGCTAGCAGTCACGACTCTGCTTCTAGGAAAGACGGTGAGGTACGGTGCTCCGGTGAAAGGTGACTCGGCCGGTTGAAATCCTTTCTCTGGAGAGGGAAAGGGCGGCTGTGGGTGGCCGAAGTTCGGCGACGAAGAAAGGGAGGCGTATGTTCTTCGATCGTGAAACTATATATCTTACGGTTTTCACGTTAAAAAGGTATTATACTACCACATTAAGGTAATGTCGGTGTTACCATATTTACCACCCCTCAACTTTGAGAAATATATTATATAAACAACTAGCGTCATTCTCACTAAAAAAAATCAACAGTATCAACAACTTTTCCATTGACATGAAACCTTGTCATCTCTCTTGTTAATAAACAACTCAAGTTCCAATCTAGTTAGCAGCCAATCACCCCCCTTTGAAGTCTGAACTGCAATGAAGCACGTAAACTAAACATAAGTAGATTAAACGACCGGGCACAATCAGAACTCGATAGTAATCTTATGAAGAACTTTACGTAATTATACTAATAAAAAAATTTCCCTTTGTTTCGTTTGAGCTTTTTTCTTCACTAGTTTTCACCATAGGCTACATATGTTCTGAACCATACGAAATCGGACTAACACGATTGAATATATTATATAAACAACTAGCGTCATTCTCACTAAAAAAAATCAACCTTAAATCATGAGAACTGAAACTTGAACGTAAACTGGCTTACTTGTGACTAGGTTTAAAACGCTTCGACGGAGATCAAGGCGAAGGTGATGGAGATACCTTGTCCGCCTCTCTCTCTCTCTCTCTAGATCGTTAGGGTTTATATAGCGGTGTCGACTCCAATTGAGGGTTTTGATTGTTGGTAAAATGGGGCGGAGATCTGGCGGAAGGCGCGATCGGAGGGAACACCAAGAAAGAAGCGCAAGAAGTGAACCAAAAGACTCGACACCATATAACTTTGAGATAAGTTACAGAAACAGTCCTTAAACTATTTCATAACTTCCATATTTTGCCCGGTGGTTGTGTTGACAATTTGATTGGTATCAAATGTTGATGCTTAATGTGGTTTTATTTTACAAATGCTCTTCGTTGAATACCTATGAGATATTCAAAACTCGATTAATCTATTGGCTATTGAGTTTGAGTAAGGTGTTGTTTGTTTTTTTAATCAAAAATTCATAAAATCGCGATAACCGCGATCTCAAATAACGGCATGTGACCGCTATTGAAATTTTGACCGCGATAACTGCATAGCTTGCAGGTCCTTAACAGCTTGCGACCTGGTGATGTATCTGGCGGCGTTCCCTTCCTTCTTCTTCCCCTGCGAACCACAAGTGAAAAACGCAACATAAAAACGATATTCTTCCGTGTAGGGAATTACTAGTAAGTTTCGTTTGAAACTTACTGGAGGCCTGTAATGTTTAGGCATGGCTGCTAGCAGTCACGACTCTGCTTCTAGGAAAGACGGTGAGGTACGGTGCTCCGGTGAAAGGTGACTCGGCCAGTTGAAAGCCTTTCTCTGGAGAGGGAAAGGGCGGCTGTGGGTGGCCGAAGTTCGGCGACGAAGAAAGGGAGGCGTATGTTCTTCGATCGTGAAACTATATATCTTACGGTTTTCACGTTAAAAAGGTATTATACTACCACATTAAGGTAATGTCGGTGTTACCATATTTACCTCCCCTCAACTTTGAGAAATATACTTCCACCCCTTGTCTTCTTTTAACTTTCAAAAATGATATTTTTTATTCCAATATTTCGTAAAATGTTATTTTAAGTCCTTCTATTTTGAACCTTTTAAAATATCAGTTTCAACCCTTTTATTTTCTAACTTTTTATATTTAACCCAAAAAATTACTTGTTTTTGTATGTATGTTTAGGTATAAATTTGGTTTTTTGTCTATTTAAAATATCAGTTTCAACCCTTTTATTTTCTAACGTTTTATATCTAGTAACTCGTTTAGTATTATATGAATGAATTTGGACCCTCCACCCGACCCCCACATCATTCTTATCCTTCACAATAATCCACCATGATAACCAAAACTTTGGCCGCACTCTACTCCTCATGCAACAGGGTTATAAAGACCAAACAAGGAAACGTGTAGCAAATTGTCTATTAAAAGCCTTATTCCACTTAAAATAGATATTTAACTAATCTAATTTAAAAAAAGAAATTTTGGATTTTTCCATTTATTTTGCATTTTAAAATTATTTTTAGATTTGGTCTTACGGTATCACAAAATTATAATGGTCTCAAATAAACCTGAACCTATATATATATATATATATATATATATATATATATATATATATATATATATATATATTAACCCCCTTTATCAATAAGATTACAAACAAGAAATATATTTCTAACCTGTTTTTGGTTGTTTTTAAGAAATATAACTTTTTTAGCAAAATGACCATTTGGTTCCGAATGCGGAATTTCGGACCCCATTTTAAATTCGGTTAAATGGGTGGATATCCCTTATAAATATCAATTAATCTTTTTCGGATTATACTTCGATATCCCTTGTTTCGGATTATCGTATCTTTCATTCTGGACACCTTTTACAACTGAAAATGTATTTTGATAGCAAGGAAAAAATGCAATAAGTTTCAAATTTATTTCTAATTAAATGCATTTATTTTAGATTATACGCTAAAAATGTTTAATTTACGCAATTATATAGGTATTATAGGGTTTTCTATAAATTTTAATCGTGTTAAGACAATAATATGATTACATAGGCTTATACATTTACATTACATGATACATTGTTATCAAAAATCCTAATTTTTGCTAGTCCGGAACGTGTCTGGAATCCAAAAATCATGTCCGGAATCTGATAATCATGTCCGGAATACAACGAACTGTGTCTGGAATTTTGGTCCGATACCGTACCCGGTTTTCGGATTCCGAAACATACATACAAAAATCCTAATTCCGGAATACAATCAAAAACGCTAAATCCGGAATACAAAAATTTACACGAATGGTCTCTATGGTTTGGGGTAATTTGCACATTTGATCCATAATTTACTTTTTTAACTCGGAAGGTCCCTACTGTTTGTTTTTGTTACGCGTTTGGTCCCTTTTATTTGTTTTTGTTATGCGCTTGGTCCCTGTCTTACCTAAAAAAACTATTATTTGAATATGGAAAAATAATGGGATAGGTAGGGTAAGGTGAGGGGAGTGGGGTTGCGAGTGTGTTTATTTAAATAAATTAAAAAATCAGGGGCAAAATAGTCTTTTTTGGTAAGACAGGGACTAAGCGTGTAACAAAAACAAACAATAGGGACCTTCCGAGTTAAAAAAATAAGTTAAGGACCAAACGTGCAAATTACCTTAAACCATAGGGACTATTCGTGTAATTTACTCAAAATTTAATTTACTCTATCAAAAATTAATATATTAAAAAGTGGGTGTTTACTGAAACTTACTTCCCAACAATATAGTCTTCGGTTGGTAGTATAATTCGTGCATTTATGCAATCAAAGACCCATTGTGGCTGTATATAATCTCTGGAAATAAACCGGTGACTTTGACTTGGCCTATCAACAATCTACAAAAATAAAACATCAGAATAATATTAATAATCAGTAAGAAATATATAAAAGATTTTTTTTTATAATAAAATATTAATATACCTGATAATTAATGCTCTGGTTAGATTCCTCAAATGGAGCTCCATCTCCCTCCCATGAAACCACACCACCAAATGCCGTAATCACAAAAAGCAATGATTCTCTTGGAACCTGTAAAAAAAAATAGACACTCACTTTAACAAGATGAAAGAAGCTTGAAGGCTAAGCAATTATTCAATTTAAAAAAAAAAAAAAAAAAAAAAAAAACATCGACTTTATTTACCTCACGACTCAAGAAGAATGTCATGTCTTTGAAAAGGGTTTTACATGCTCTTGTTTCTTCATCATCTTCATTCTCATCAGCAACATTTTCAACATACCTTGTAAAAGCATATAAATCTGTACAATTTTTTAAAAAGTTAATATACCTTATATATGATATCTAGTAATAATTAATCTATCATGTGATAGAAAATTCATACCTGAAGCTGAAGCTTTCAGTCGAGGATCAAGGATAGGTGGATATTTCAAATTAATCGAATTGTAGAGTTTGAAATTAACAAAACCTAAGAGATTCTGCATATTTAATCAATTTATATGTAAGTAAGAGTTAAAACAAAAAGATATATAATATTCATAAGAAAGGTAGAAGCTTGATCATTATCACAAACCTCGTATAATTCCAAGAATGTAAGCATGATCTTGTAATCTACATCTTGAGGCATTACTTGTTGTAGTGCATGAGGCGTCAACCATGTGATTTTTTGCCCTTCAACCTCTGCCTAAAAGGGGCAAATTGGTAATTTTACATTCTACATAACATCAAATTTATTGATTTATACATGTGATGATTTCTATACCTGGTAATATATGCCTTTCACAGATATGAAAGCCTTTCGCAATTTATGTGTGCGAGAGACATATGCTTGCCACTCAAGACTCAACCTAAAGAAATTAAAACATATAAACCATTAAGATATAAAATTAGATATTCAGAATATGGGAACACATTACACATACCCTCTACAACTATGGATTCTTTCTACTTGAATGTTTTCCCTTTCTATAGCAGGTAATGCAGCAAAAAGATGCACCATGGTGAGTCCATCATCCAAATCTCTTAATGCATCAATGAATGTTGGATACCTGAAGTCAAATTTGTAAAAAGTTACGACTTAATTGGGAAAATCTTCTTTTTACTTTTCTATCAAGTCGTTCTTTTTGCATTTAGTAAAAAAGAAAGACTGGTATATAGTTATATACTATAGGTATATAGCATACCGGATTAAGTAATGTCCTCATTGAGTCAAAAGGAAAATGCAACAAAAAGTGTTGTATAAGTTAGATATATAATGACACTAACCTCTCAAGGATAGGCCTATCAAGTGTGTAAGAAGGCTTGTGTGTTGACACGCGTTGAACAAGATCTTTGTTCTTCTTAGACATTGCTTTCTTTTTCTTTTTCTCATATGTCCTAGCCTCACGAAACTTGACAAGAAGTGGGTCATGTTTAAGACCCAAAATATCTTTCATGTGATAATAGGTATGGTGGTTTCCCTTCACTTTTTTCTTTGGGTCTCGAGGAAAAACTTTTTTGAAGATACATAATTTCCTATTGAATCAAAAACAACCAAAACATTTGGATTATTAGAGTATATATACACAATTGAAAATATAGAACCTCTTATGAATTGTATACGTACCAAATATTTAACTATCAAATACACAACACAAGAGAGTAACTATTCAAATCCACATTATTACATGTTTTGTTTTTTAAATCAATAAGACCCTTGATCATGGTAGTAAAGGACATCAAATTAGGGTTATGGACTTCTTATCATCACTCCAAACTAGGGTTTTTCACCTCTTATCTCAAAAGCGCTCATTGAAGATAAATCAATACATTTAACAACAAAAACTTCTTCAAATTCTTCCTTCTCTATACATCCTCATTCAAAACACTTAATATGAATATACATTTAACTACGTTGATTGTAAATTCAAACATTAATGAGCTTTTGTGCTTCTTATCTCACCTCATATATACACATCTATATATCTACAACATACGCCAAGATTCAAAGCAAATTAATACCTGAACACGGAAAGACTGACTTGCAGGCTAAGCTATCAATTGCGCGCTATAGCGGCGCTATAGCATTTTGCGGAGGTCAGGAACCGCTATTTTCAACTTAGCGTTTTCATTTCGCGGTACCGCTATTAGCGGCGCTATTCACCGCTATTTACCGCTATTTCAATAACCGCTATAGCGGCGCTATTCCATTTTCATTCACATTTAGGGTCATTTTGTTACTTTGTCAATGAAAAAGTAGTTTTAATGATCTCACTTCACTTTCATTTTAAAATGCCCAAACAACTAACATAATTAAAAGCATTCAAAGCAACTACGTCTACCGACAACTCTCTTTCTCATCATCTTTTTCTGTACTCACGACGACTTGAGCTGCTATGGTCGGACTCCATTAATGTTTTTTGTAAATCGAACCACACCTATGAGGCTACGACTTGGGAGTTAACTCTTTATATCAACCATGACCTACTAATACAATATTGAATACGGGCAATACAATTAATCTCTATTTGACACTTTGACACTACGTAGTTTCCTTATTACCATAATAGAATATTATGTTATGTTTTTATATGACTTTTTAGGTTTATGATATTAATTCTATATAAACTTATAGTATTAATACTCAAATATATATAACTTCTATATAAATATAATATAAAATTATAAATTATCCGTAATATTAAAAAAAACGCTATATCACCGCTATACCACCGCGATAACCGCGATCTCAAATAACGGCATGTGACCGCTATTGAAATTTTGACCGCGATAACTGCATAGCTTGCAGGTCCTTAACAGCTTGCGACCTGGTGATGTATCTGGCGGCGTTCCCTTCCTTCTTCTTCCCCTGCGAACCACAAGTGAAAAACGCAACATAAAAACGATATTCTTCCGTGTAGGGAATTACTAGTAAGTTTCGTTTGAAACTTACTGGAGGCCTGTAATGTTTAGGCGTGGCTGCTAGCAGTCACGACTCTGCTTCTAGGAAAGACGGTGAGGTACGGTGCTCCGGTGAAAGGTGACTCGGCCAGTTGAAAGCCTTTCTCTGGAGAGGGAAAGGGCGGCTGTGGGTGGCCGAAGTTCGGCGACGAAGAAAGGGAGGCGTATGTTCTTCGATCGTGAAACTATATATCTTACGGTTTTCACGTTAAAAAGGTATTATACTACCACATTAAGGTAATGTCGGTGTTACCATATTTACCTCCCCTCAACTTTGAGAAATATACTTCCACCCCTTGTCTTCTTTTAACTTTCAAAAATGATATTTTTTATTCCAATATTTCGTAAAATGTTATTTTAAGTCCTTCTATTTTGAACCTTTTAAAATATCAGTTTCAACCCTTTTATTTTCTAACTTTTTATATTTAACCCAAAAAATTACTTGTTTTTGTATGTATGTTTAGGTATAAATTTGGTTTTTTGTCTATTTAAAATATCAGTTTCAACCCTTTTATTTTCTAACGTTTTATATCTAGTAACTCGTTTAGTATTATATGAATGAATTTGGACCCTCCACCCGACCCCCACATCATTCTTATCCTTCACAATAATCCACCATGATAACCAAAACTTTGGCCGCACTCTACTCCTCATGCAACAGGGTTATAAAGACCAAACAAGGAAACATGTAGCAAATTGTCTATTAAAAGCCTTATTCCACTTAAAATAGATATTTAACTAATCTAATTTAAAAAAAGAATTTTTGGATTTTTCCATTTATTTTGCATTTTAAAATTATTTTTAGATTTGGTCTTACGGTATCACAAAATTATAATGGTCTCAAATAAACCTGAACCTATATATATATATATATATATATATATATATATATATATATATATATATATATATATATATATATATATAACCCCCTTTATCAATAAGATTACAAACAAGAAATATATTTCTAACCTGTTTTTGGTTGTTTTTAAGAAATATAACTTTTTTAGCAAAATGACCATTTGGTTCCGAATGCGGAATTTCGGACCCCATTTTAAATTCGGTTAAATGGGTAGATATCCCTTATAAATATCAATTAATCTTTTTCGGATTATACTTCGATATCCCTTGTTTCGGATTATCGTATCTTTCATTCTGGACACCTTTTACAACTGAAAATGTATTTTGATAGCAAGGAAAAAATGCAATAAGTTTCAAATTTATTTCTAATTAAATGCATTTATTTTAGATTATACGCTAAAAATGTTTAGTTTACGCAATTATATAGGTATTATAGGGTTTTCTATAAATTTTAATCGTGTTAAGACAATAATATGATTACATAGGCTTATACATTTACATTACATGATACATTGTTATCAAAAATCCTAATTTTTGCTAGTCCGGAACGTGTCTCGAATCCAAAAATCATGTCCGGAATCTGATAATCATGTCCGGAATACAACGAACTGTGTCTGGAATTTTAGTCCAATACCGTACCCGGTTTTCGGATTCCGAAACATACATACAAAAATCCTAATTCCGGAATACAATCAAAAACGCTAATTCCGGAATACAATTAAAACCCTATTTCCGCTCAGGAACATACATACAAATATCCCTAATTAATAATTCTTTTGATTGCAACACGATATAACATACGAAGCGGTTGTTGCTACAACGTGCATACCTAAACTTGGGCGCAAAATCATGGCGCGCTTACAAAGCCGACGAGTTTGTGGGGCGATGTTTAAGCAATCATGTTTTGTTGATTACGTGAACATGTTGATAGGTGTCTAATGTCACCATTTACTATGCTGTTATCTTATGTGTAACGAAGTTACTACTTTTGATCCAGTTGACCTAGAAAAGCTTCTATTTCTGGTTCGAGGTTATTGAGTTTACTTAGACAGGAACGCATTCTACTTGGTTACCGGCTTGTAGTTCCGGGATTATTTTCGTCCAACTTCTGGTTTTGCAGAATTCAAAGAACATATGTTTCCATTTGTGCCGCTTTCACATTTGGTGAGTGTGGTTGGCCTTACGCACGTGTTCAATAACTTACTTCGTCAATTAAGTAATGAAGATGTGGTGAGAGTCTCCCTGTTGTATATGCTAGAGCAAGGATTTTTTGAGAAATACCTTTGACAGCCAATTGCTAATGAACGTATGACACACATCTCTAATTTATAAGAGTTTTTAACAGGTATATAGTTTTTTTACCTACATTATATTAAAATAATATATATACTTATTAAGTGTAATTTTTTGACATATGTACCAATGGGGAAGATTGATATGGAGTTCACTTACAAATAGATGCGTGTTGTGTTTGATAAGATTGAGGACTATTTGAACCCAAATGCGCAAAGAATCGGCAGTAGACACACATATACTCTATAGGGATTTGTCTGTGCATTTAAGGTATGTACATTATGTTTAATAAGAGGTTTTAAACAACAAGTATTGTAATCTTGTTAACTTAGTAAGTTGTTTGTCATTTTAATTTTGTAGATTTGGATCTTGGTGACATTTCCCAAGAAATTGTTGGTTCCCCTAATTAAAAAAATGGCATATTGAATGAATATATGGCTTATTGAGATCGTTAATAACATCATAGATAACACCAACCTTTTTATTTGGTCCATCATTGGAGTATGAATCAAGGTTTCCTAATTAAAAAACAGTAACAAAAAAAAAACACGATTACTTTGAAGGGTGACAAAAATAAGGAAACTCCAATTCGAAACATGAAGATGTAATTGAATAAAAAAAGGACTAAATTGAATTAAAATAATTGTTTTGATGTTGTCAGACATGAGTGACAAATCGATTACGATACATGGTGTAGAGCGACGTTGTTGTTAAATGCATCGATTACGATACATGTTGTTAAATGTTTCGACACACCATAACATCATCAACCTCTTCTTTTATAACCATAAAATAGCACAAACAAACAAAACTGAAAAAGATAAATATATTGGATCTTTTTTCTAAAAGATGATAAAATTATTATACTTCTACTTATACAATAAAAGACATTAAAATTATCATATGATCATTACGAATTTAATATTTAACATCGGAGATTAAAATGATAAAAACTAATTAATGAAAAATAATAAAACTTTAAACGTTAAATAAAATAAGGGAATAAAATGGAACATTGTTAAATAAAATGACTTAACTGCATCAAACATTAAGCTTATAAAAACATTAAGTGAAATATAAAATATAAGGTTTTGTGTTATTAAAGGACCACACCCGACATGTAGAATTAGTTCCGACGGGAACACCACATAGGCTAGGATGGTGACCATACTCAAGAGCTCCACCGGGTCATGGGCGGAGCTTTATTAGGGCGAGGAGGGCTGTGGCCCCTTCTCCTGATTTTTTTTGTTACAAATAGCCCCTTATATTTTCATTTTATACATATTAGACCGAAAAATATAAAATTTTGGCGGTGGTTCCCCTTGATCACCGATTTTTATAC